TGTTCCGTGCATGGCAAAGGATACAACACACCGTGCAGGCTGACCAACTCAGAGGCAGCAAATTTTTTCATCTGTTGCATTCCAGATTGGTATCAGAATGGAGACATAGCATTTTGTAAATTTAGTTATCAAGCACTTGTACATAAAAGAGAGAGACAGAAGAGGTCAATTAGGCAGCAGCCACAGCTGTCCAACTTTAACCCTTAACCCATATATATATAATATATATATATATATATACACACACACACACACACACACATAAAAATATGTAACAAAGCACCAACCCCCTACAAACACACACCAGCTAGTCTGCATTGTTTATCTTGGCAAGTGCTATTAAGAATTATCTAAGGTATTCTTAAGATCTGATGAGAAATCCAGACACAGAACTGCTAAAGCATTTGAAAACCTAAAGAAAAAGAAAATTGCAGTTCATTAAGCATTTCCTATATCACAGTAACATTTTTTTCTCCCACTCTGGGATGTAAAAGCCTGAACTCTTTGTAAAAGGCATGGCTATACCAGATGTACCTTTTTCTCCATCAAATCTGTTGCAATTTCTCTTTTAGAAGGATATGGTTTTACACTACAACCTTCATAATGGAGTGCATCAAAAGGATGTACAGAACAATAAATTACCTTCAGTTATGATCTGACTTTGTAGGCAAACCATATGAGCACAAATGACCCACTGCTAACTCCAGAACAGATTGGATCATTCTAACATGGTTTTTGTAATGTTCAGGACTTTTGTTACATCCTTTATCAGGTCTCTTCACTCCTCACAGATTTTTACTCAATCAAACATCCCACAATTCTCTAAGAAGAAAGAGTGAAATGTTATGAGGATGAATATTACAGAGCAGGAACTGAACCACTGGCAGTTGAAATACTAGGAGGGACTGTCTCTGTGCAAGAGCCAGGAATAAATCCTAGAAATACTGACTTGTGGTTCCTTGCTCTGGCCAGGAGGTTCAGTCAGCACTCCTCTCCCCATAAGATCTTCACAGCACTACATGAACAGCAATTAGGAGCCAACAGGTGAAGAAATGTTGATTTAAAATTTTCTTTTTCAGGCTACCATTCCATGTACGTTGTGCAGTGCAGTGTCAGAGAGAGGTCTAAGCCCAAAAGTGAAGTTGGGACCTGAATTCATGTCTGCTAAGGCCAGGGTCCTCTGCCCTGCGAGTTTTTATCCACTTCGTTAAGGTGTCAGCCAGACACAGTGAGGTAGGCAGCAAAGATCAGAGCCTCCTCTTCTGCACAGCTTCTGCCAGCCATGAATCTTGAAAGCAGAGTGGGGTATAATCAGGAGAACACTTTGGTGCTATTTGGAAAGGAAAAAGCACACAGCTCCTCCCCTTGGCTAATGTTTCAAGAAAAGAATTGCCTGTCCTTGAGGTAGACTGCCAAAAAAAACATGTCGTTTGAGAATGTGGTGACTGGACTAGGAAATGAGCAGCCCATGTCTCTCAGCTCACCCAACACTGCCATGAGATCCAGCCCTCCTGCTTGCCCTGCGAGAGGGGTAATGGGTTTACACCACATTGACTGCCTTTTCACCACACATTCAGCAATCAGACACATACACAGCTGTTGTATAGGACAGAGGGATTCCTCTGTATCATCTTTCAGGGCATTGTAAACATGCTGTCAGGAGTCAGCAGAGCAATATCTGGAAAGAATTAGCCTGTTATTTTGTGCATAAGCAGCAACAGAAAATGAAAAACCCCAAACACCCAAATATAATAAACTGTGTAATGTAAAGAAATATGTTCATTAAAAGCAAACACATGCAAGATAAATATACAGGGAAAAAGTATGTCTTGTTTTCAGCTGGAGAGTTTGACTCCATTCAAAGGCAAAGCTGCAAGGGAGCAGGACCAGTAAGCACACAGAAATGCAACATTGATATGAGTAAGAATCACATCTGCAGTACATTGGTTAGAACAACCACCAAATGGGCTGTTGGGCCCTCAGCTGCTGGGCAGGTCCTGCCCATTGATGGTGCTGTGTCATCAGAGAGTTTCAGAAGAGTCTGGGATTCTCCAAGGTGTTTGAAACTGGTCTGTTTTTTTAGATGTGATGCTGACCTAGTCAGAGTTTTTTGACTTCTATAAGGGCTAACTCTATTGGGATGTGAGAAGGCTACATCTGGCTCATGCTACACCACATCTGGCCTGTAATGGGAACAGCTGGCACACGCAAACATTGGGGCCCTGGAAGAAAGTTAGTCTTGCTGCTGACACAAAGCTGGAAAAATCTGGATTCTTTTCTTGGCTCAGTCAGTAACTCACCTGTACCTCAGTTTCTTGCTCTATACTGAACATAAGGGGTGCTGGTTCTCTGTTACAATAAATACTAATGGTACAGTGACTTCATAAACTTAGCTAGCTCAGAGAAATGGCACAGTCTGTTTCACTGGTATTTATAAATGTGTTTTAGAAATCCTGAAACAAGGGTCATATAGCAGAACAGGGCATCAATTCTTTGAAAAAATCTTTAGTCACATTCAGAATAAAGAAAAAATAACAAGACCTTGCTTGTAAGTTTATCAATCTAAAAGACCAGCAAGTGTTAAACCTCCTAAAGTGCCTGAAATTCTGGACAGAAATATCAAAACAGAGACTCTGAGGTATTTTCAACATAACCAGGAGCAGGAAGGACCAGACTACAGACCCATGAGGTTTAATTCAAATAGATAACTTCATGGCTTATCTGATCTACATCTGCAATCTGAATCTTTTGAGGTTCCACCACCACTACTAAACATGACACCAAGCTGAGAACACAGGAAACCTCAACCGATGTAATCAAGAAATCACGTAGGCAACAAAATGATGTCATGTAATTCTTGAAGTTTAACACTGGCTAAGGGGAGAAGGGATCAGAGAAGGAAAAGGGAGGAAGTCTGCTATCCCATAAATGCAAGGTACTCCACAGCCAGGGATATTCTCACGTTTTCCTGTTTGTTTTAAACCACTTTCCTGTTCTCTTTTCCCCCTCCTCACCAACTTATCAACAGTGCAGCTAACACAAAATATCATGAAACTCAAACTTCCCACTGTCTTAATAGCATTAATTATACCAGGAAACGCCTCGTTCTCTCCTAAATTATTCTGATAAAAAACATAATGCACATATCTAGAAAATTGATATTCTTTCATCCTGCAATTTTTACTGGACCTTGAGATGACTCACAGAATTTAGGTAGCTTACATGAGTTTTAACCAGACCAAATAAGAGACTTCAATGTTGGACACAGAAATAGCTACCCCTATTCAGACAGCAAGTGTGTAGTGCTGTCCTACACATATCAACGGAGTCTGAGAGAATTCCCATCATCCATATTTTATCCAGCCATGACATAAAAGAAAAAAGCTGGCTCTTTTCTCATAAAAAGGAAAATAGCAACACCCTGAAATCACATGTCTTCTAGGCAGCTTCCCAAGCACACTTTGTTTTCATTGACTAAAATAATGCCTAACAATAGAAATTGAAAGCAGATGTTCCTACACTATAAAAAGTCTTATTCTATTAGAAACCAGCAGATCTTAAATTGTGTTATTTAGATAACACTCTACTCTGCATAGTGAAAGAACATAGGTCATCTAAATAGAGAAATATTAGTGACACTCTTCTGTTGTTTTGATGACTAGATTACAGTTGGAACTGGCCCAAAACACTTTGAGCTCCACCAAACCGTTTGGAAATGTGCATCTCATAGTCCTATGTATTGGTTCTCGACCATTCTTGTAAATAACCCCAAAAGTCACAAGGGCTTTAGAGGCTGCTTGGGGTGTCCAGGCTCAAAGCCCACAGTTAAACATCCCCCGGCGTCTCTAAGTATTCCAAAGAACACCATATTCTGGCCTCCTCTTTCTTCTTGTTGACATACAGCCAGCACTCGTCAGTCCGTTTGATTGGAATCACCAGGCAGCTAGTTTGGAAGGAGGAGTTGATAGGTATAATCATCCTTTATTGCACTGGCTGATTTTGATTTGCCTGGTTTATACCAGTAACAGCGTGGAGTCACAACTCAAATGGGGTTTATGCCAGTACAACTCCATTTATTTCAGAAGGGCCCTAAATTAGAAAAGTGGAAGTGAGATCAGAATTGGACTGAATACTGGTGCAACATTCTACATGTACACAGCTCATAGTTAATAGAAAAATTAAAACTAACATTTTTGCCTGTCTCATGACACTGATACAAGTAGTTGGTAAAGCTGTCTCTGGCCCTGTGCTTCTGGAAACCATCCTGGCTCTACTGATCTTCAGGGAAGCAAATCTGTATACACATTCATCATTTGACCCTAACTCTCAAATTATTTTCGGCACTGCCATTATCTAGGAATGAAATATGGCTCTTTGGGTCCCAAGAATCATCTTAACTTTAAATGGAAAGAAGATGAAGCAACATAGTAGTCGTAGTCATTCAGTAGCTGTTTCTAGTAATGTTTTTGTTTCTTCTTTCTACTTGCTTCATCTGTGAATTGCAGACAGCTTTGTAGACCTACTTCATTTTTTACTCCTCTAAAAACTGACAGTTAAATAAAACAAAACCAAGAAGTAACATTCTACCTTTAAAAAAAAAAAATTAAAAAAAAATAAATATATATATATATATATATTCCCTTCTCTTTCCATCTCTGCATCTCTGAACTTACATTTTGGTCTTTTATGTTTTCTATCTATAAACAGAGGCTCTTGGCAAGTTCACTTGCTTTTTTATAGGTCAAGAGGAAATCTGTCCAACTGTTTGACAAACAAAGTATACTGATAACACTTTGTAAAGTAATATGGAAGAATTTCTCAACCTAGAATCTGTAGTGTGACCCCACTCAACAGGAGTTTTTTTAAAATAATCAAAAAGCAAAAAAAATCCTGGGTTACTTCACCTATAACTTTTCCTTATACTTTTTGCTGTCCTAAAATTTAAACTGGTCACCCTGCCTATGACATTTAGGTATGCCTTATTTGTCATTTCCTTACAGATTGCTTGCTGCTATGGGACAAACCTGCATTTCAGCACAAGAGATTGATTGCAGTATCTCTCTCATGCTTTGAATATGACTAATGAGGAGGCTGCCCAATTTTAATGTCAGATGGGAGCAATAATCAATCTAAGAGCCATCAGGACAACTCACAGTTCAGGAAGAGGTGAGTAGGAGGAGCATAGGAAGACCACTGAAATGAAGAGACAGGTGTCAGGAGGAGGATGAATGCGATTCACTGATTTACCCAAATGGATGTGATGGGGTGTATCTCAAGGTTACACAAAGACCATGAAATATGAAGGGAGACTGCTGGCTTTCCCTGCTCTATGGCACTTAACAGCTTATTCTTGACTCAACTGCTTTATTCAAGATGGACAATATTCCAAAGCCAGCAAGCATTTGTCTTTCATTTTCCCCGGTTTTACCTCTGGCCAATCCAGGCAATGTCAATCTTTTTTTTTTTTTTTTTAGCCTTCCTTCAATATTGATGGGAAACAATCTGACGGAGTTTTTGATCAGTTAACAATGAAATGTATTTTTTTCATTTTTATGATTTAGTTAGTTACACTTTTTAAGCCTGTGAATCAAAACAGAGCCAGATTTTCCCATATGAGAGCACAGGAAAAACCTACTGTAACATAAAGACTATATACAAAAATTGGCAAACCACTAACCAAACTTTCAGCAATTCATCCTTACATAATGACTGGGAGAAAACAAACAAGCAAACAACTTCCCCAAAATCAAGCAAACTAACACTATTACCCGTCTCTGTCCAGTGAAATTCCCACTCTTTGCATTTGCTGCATGGCCAGAAATTGGGATACTGATAGCTAACATGTAGGGTTTCCACTCTGCCTTTAATGTCAATAGCACATATTATTCAGCAGTCTCCAGTTAAAGATCTGTGCAAAACTTCATGAAAACCCTTATATTAAATTCAACTGCTGCAATTTCAGTTTCTGTATCCTAGGAGAATGCATACATAAGAACAGTACTTTTCTAGCACAAAAGAAAGACATATATATATTCTGAGCTTCACAAACTGAACACAAAACAGTCTTTATGGAGATTGTTATACAGGAGAATAAAGCAAACCTTCCTCATTTACTGAATGCACATGGTTCCCTGAAACCTGAGCATGTGAATGTCTGGTTCTGATCATTCACCCGTATCAGAGTATGTGAACCAAACCTTACCCACAAAAGGATGAGCAAAACCCAAAGAGATCTATCAATATTACTTGCCTACAAATAGAGCCAACAGAGTAAAAGTCAGATGGCAAATATAAATACGAACTTCCCCTTCCTTCCAGTGGGCTGGAAGAAATCATCAGCAAAACTGCTTGATCAAGTCCTGAAAAAGAGGATGAGAACACTGCTGCTAGATTCCAGGAAGAAACACAAGGAGTCATTTCTTGAAAAGAGGAGGAACAAAAGGTAAGTCAGAAGATGATGACAGCAGTATACTGTGGATCAGCATTGTTTGGAAAACAGCTTGCTTCTTTAGAGAACTAAAGGACTCCAAAAGCCTTGGAGAGGAGCATGACCTGTCCAGGAAGACAAAGTGATAAAAAAGAGGGGTGACTAGAAAACCCAGAGCAGCAAGTGGCATAGGATAGGTGTGTAATACCAAGTTTTACACTGCAGGGTGAAGCAGCTTCTAGATCCACACGCAAACCTCACTGACGTGGACATCATCCTTCCTCTCACCTATGTCTGCAAAACAAGCAGCAGGTGCAGTATCTTTGCTGTTATGAAATAAACTTTCCTCTTTCCAACAGAAAAAATGATACCAATAGTATCATTTTCACGAGCTAGACCTCTGTCGAATCCAGTCAAAACTGCATTTTCTTTTAGAGAGAAAGAAAGGTAGTGATTTGTGCTGGTGCTTTAGATGACCAGCTTCTTTGCACTACTGCAGATGAAACCAAGATGAAAGGACAAAAAACTCTGTCAAACCAGAAAAAAAGAAATACAAACATATACAAAGTACAGACAATCTCACTTTTGGATAGCAATGCTCATACTTAGCCCTTGAGAAAAGAACCCAGCAAACAAAACCAGATTACTGCTGAAGAACCTCAGTGCTTTTCACTTTTTCAAAGTTTGAGAGATTTGTGTTGGAAGGCACATGAGCCCTTTCTTTCAGTAAAAGGGGCTTAACTTTCATACTAGCCTTCTGAAGTGCTGAAGGTTAGTAATGATATCAGTGCAAATCTTGGATCCTAATTTATTTGGGGTGTACACAAAGAAATATGGCGTTTGTGGCTGCCATGTGCCACATCTTTTTTCTAACCTCTATTTACATTTTTTTCATCCAAGCACATATTGATCGAAACTCATACCCATGACAGTACAGCAAGTGCCATTCTGGCCTCTTTCATCCAGTGTTAACCATCACCCTCAGCAGCCAGTACCCTCCCTCATACAATAACTGAATCACCTTTGGCAGCTGTTACTGTTTCAGACCCATACCCTGCAAAGATTTATACATCTGCTTAACTTTATCCCTGTAGACAGTGCCAGTGACATTAGCAAGAGCGCTTACATTTGTTAATTTAAGTGCTGTAGAAACAGGGCATTGCCTAGAATTCTCACAAGAAAAAAAAAAATTGAGTCTGAAATAAATATGATGATCATTTCTTTGTTATGTGTTTTCTGGTTCTCATTTTTCATGACATCCTCTCAAGTGGCCTTAGGTCCAAATATGTTTCTCCAAGCCCAGAAAATCTTTCAAGGGTCATTTGAGATGTCTGCCTGTTTATGAGTGAAAGCTATCAAAAGGAATAACGTGATTCTTTGAAAAGAAAACACTTGAATATCAGTTATTGCCATTTGCCTCAATAGTTTTATAATCATGCTGTATAGTAATCTACATAGACTGTTTAAACTAAATGAATCAGAGCGTAAGTGGCTTACAGGCCAGTCTAGTATATTGCATATCTATTTTTGCTAATCTTGGCCTAATTCAACAGCAAAATTCTATTTAATGTCCACATCCAGGTCACTAGCACCTACCTAATAAAAACCAGTAATAAATCAACATCGTTAGTGCCATGGATTCTGGAGAGACCAAACACTGATGTACAAGGAGTACTGGAGATGTCAGTTGAGACTGTCTGGTCTTCCTGATCTGAGATGATATAATTTCTAGTTGCAACTTTTTTCCTGGGCCATTAATTCTACTGCCCTTTGTAGCTGCTACGACTAATAGCACATGAACTAAAAGATCACCTGTGGTTCGTACACACATAGTAGGTGAATTTCTGGTATAAAGAACGACTCTGTAAATGAGTTGATCTGTGTAGTGCTATTTTAACCAACAAACCAACACCACTTTCAACAAGAATCAGCAAAGTTTCCATTCTTTTAATATTTTTAGCTTTCTTAAGCATTTTAGGCAATTCATTCTGAGATCCTCTGACTCAACTGATATAAAAAATACCTTTCTCTCCACTTTTTTTTGCTGCTTGTGTAGGGTTATTAGCCTAAAATTCTAAAGAAACAAAGCATATGCAATCCTGATGTCTTTCTGTCCCATTCCTGCTCCATCCTGTGTGATTTCTGAACTCATCGACTCACTTGAGCCCATCAAACCCAGTAGAGAAATTAACAGAGGTCACCAACATGCTGGGTTCCTACTAACTTCTGAAAAATGAGCCAATAGAGATGGAAGAAAATGTTCCAACTAAGGAAAATTTGTCAGCATAGCTCGTTGGCTACCTGCCCAGCTAGCTGCCCATCAGCTGCTCAGGACCTTCATGGTTTGAAACACATTGCAGCCAGCCCCTTCATTATAACTGATGCCAAGAAAATCAACCAGCGCTAATTTTCAGGCAAAGAGGCAAATAAGACCCAAGCCCCTGTAGTACCTTACAAACTTCAGGAGGCCTGCTGCCCATCAAACATGGCTTCATATCAAGTCCTCTGAGATTACAGACAGTTTGGGTATAGCAGAATGCTCTGTGTGCCAGCAAGGATTTAGTTTTCATGATCACCATTAGCCAATCTACATGACAATGTAATGGAAGTGGAAGGCAAGCTACTCTTCATTGTGCTGTTCATTGCCAGAGCATCATAAATTTATCAGTGTATGCAAGATTTAAAATTGAATAAGTGTTGTGTTTTTAAACTCCACTCTGAATAGACAGACAAGGGAAAAATACTTATTTTTAGATGTAAAGACAGAGAAAGGGAAACAAACAAAAAAATACCAGCAGAACTCTGAACAAATCTCTGGAAGCGAGGTGGTAATTTAAATCATTTTGAGGCTGGACAAGACAGGTGAGGGAAAATTTGGTGGAACAGTTTTTTGGAGGTCTGACTTTCACACAGGCTGGAGCAGGAAACATTCCAAACTCGGGACCTAAATCCTTGCTAATCTTTATAGCCCAGTGGCAGAATGCAAAACACCAGGGCTGTGCTCTGGAGCTGTGAGCCAGTGCTCCTGCAGGGCTAGATATCCCAGACACTTGTGGTAAATGAACTTGAGGTTGTTGAGAGTGGAGGCAAGTGACGCCACAACAGCCCCGGTTTAAATTGCCCGTGTGGATGTAATTATTAGTAGTTGTGGATAGCATTCTGCTTTTTTCCTCACTACCTTTACTTCTTATTTTTAAAATCTTAAAGAACAAGATCTTAAAAGCACAAGAACATCAAGTCTCTGGCTGTTTAAAGGACCATGTGACTCCTCTGTACTTTGAACTCAGATAAACTTCTTACTGAATGAAGTCATGTGTAAAACGCTTTCCAACAGAGATTATTTTGAACCAAGCTGAACTAAGAAATGCAACAGAATTTCAACACTCATATTTCAGTAGCAAAAAAAAGGAACCATTCTTGTACTGAGTGTAGCACTTCGGGGAGAAGCACCAGATCCCCTCACGTAAACAGAACTACACTTGTACTAGACTATGGAAGTAGATCATGTTTTAGTTCGGGGAATAAAAAAATCATCATACTTCCAAATAATCACATGTCAGAAAAAACAGCTTTTGCCTAATGAAGACATCTTCATAAATCACAGTATCCCGAGTTTAAATTAGTAAAACCAGTGTCAGGTCCAAAGTAGCCACATTGGGATGTATCAGAATTTCTGTGTGCTTTTTAGACTGAAGAGATAACCAGCTTTTAGCTAATGTTTAGATTTTAAAAATTTGCAGCCCTGATCATTACACTTTTTTTCTCTAGGAGCAGAACATATGGCTTGTATCCTGGCTGACTTCCAACCTGAGTAATTACGTACTGACCACATAATTTTCCCCCGCGGTTTTAACTGAATGAAGCATTCCTCTCCAGTTCCCCCTGTGAACATTTATACCTTGTTGTGGAGCACTATTAAATATCTTTGCTCCAAAGATGGCTGCATATTAGTAATAAGTGAAACAAGGTCTTAATCTTATCATTATATCCCTGTCCCCTCCAAATACAGTTGGGAGGGATGGGGATATAATTTTAAATATAACTGGGGGGGGACATGGATCCATTAACACGTGTTTTGAGTCCCTAATTGTATCCATTAGACATGATCTTCTATATCAGGATGATGCTTCCATGCAGTGAACTTGATAGATGAAGATGGTATTTTTCCTAACAACTTCAAGTGTTAAAAGACCTACCCTTGGGTTCATGCAGCATATTTAATATCAAGCATTTCTTCTGAAGATGCAGAACAGCCTATGAGCTCATGAAGGGCTGTGTGTTGAAAAAGATTAATATTAGAGAAGATGTGGGCAGGCTTTCTGCTCAGAAATATGGGACAACCCGAAAAAGCAAAAGAACAGTTTGGATATCTTGCTTTTATACCAGGGCATTGACTATTTTGATTGGTGTGTTGCATTTAAAGGATAAAGAAAATGAAACAGAGTGAGCTATACACCACAGTCCACACTTTGACTGGTTAGTGCCAATAGGAGGTACTGGAGACAGGCATTAGGAGAGCCACCTTATAACAAATGACAGAACCCAACTAGGTATCTGATCAGGTAAAATTCTTCCTCCCTCCCAATCAGGATTGCAAACACTGAAATTAAGAGGAAAATTAGCAAAAGGGAGAAGTCATCTTGAGTACCTTAATTTTTTACTTCCCAGCCTGAAACCATCCGAATTCCAAATTTCCAACTTATATAAACTATTAACTTCCACTCAAATCGGCAGCATTTAACACCTCTTCAGATGCATCAGGATCACTATGACAAATGAGGCACCCTGAAAGTCAGAAGCCCCTTTAACAATTTCCTTGCAGGGATCTAAGTGATGCTATGCAGCAGAAATACCAGCAAGAGAGACATTTAGACGAGTCTATATTTTAACCACTTGATCAGATTTATAAACTACTCTGAAGATGACAAATTCTACCAAGCTTTTCAGTATTACTAAATAAAATTGTGCCTGCGAATGAACTTTTTTCTGCAAGAGAGCTGAATGATGAGTGGGCCTATTAGTTGCTTAATCCACAGGCATCCATACATAGGTGCATGCATACATCAGTTTAAGAGATTCTGTGTAACACATTCTGCACCGTTTTTCTACTTTAGAAAATATCATGCCAAAAAAAAAGGAAGAAAAACCAACTTTCTGCTTTCTCATATACCAGAAATGGGTCCATTGACAGAACATAATGAGTGGTTAGCTTTTTTCCATTTTGCTCAGCTTGCACTTTTTGTAAACATCCTTCCTCTTTGCACCTCCAGAATAATCGGTTGTGTGACTGATGTACATGGCAAGTGAGAAACCTCTGCCATTTATATTCAGAGACCCACTGGGATCCTTTCTCCCTGGCCCTCTCTGCTTGCCAGAGCTGGCAGAGGGCTGGGAAGGCTGGAGCCCGCAGAGGCTGAGCAAGCTGCCCTTGTCCCTGGGAGCCCCAGCCGGCTCACGGGGACGGCGCTGGCAGAGGAGCCAAAGGCTGGCGCAGCACACACAGAAATTCACTCGGGCTGTGGGAACGCTGTTCCAGTGAATCCTTCCAACTGGGTAGTTTGAAATTTGACTCCCATCCTGTAAGGATGTGACACTATTAATTGAGAAGGCTGAATATTTGCTGGATTTTGAGCAGGTCGAACAAACAAGAAAAGGCAGCTTTTAGAGGGACATCTAAAATCTCAAATGTCTCTGCTGGCATCCCTTTAAATACACTGTAGCAGAGTTCAAGCCATTTGGCCTCGGATCAAGCAGCACAAAATGGGAAACATCTCTGATGTGCAACATTGCCCTCATGTGGCTGCTCCACCTCTGCAAAAATACCGGCAGTGACAGAATCGGAACCTCGCTCCAAATTTGCAGCTTTTCAAATTGTGTTTAATAATATTGGCAACCTACAGGAGAATTGGTGAGGTGGTGATAACTCTCTCATAACATCCCTCTACAAAGAAATACATTCCCTTCTTCAGACCTGCTCTTTTTTATGTCGGGTAGCAAATGCATTTTTCATTTTCTGAGACACACCGCTGCCATGATTATATTGTAAGGCACATTATAGAGTACAACTGCTCAACAAAAAGGTACAGAAACATCAGAAATGACAGATGGAGCATTCTTGTTGTCAGGAAGCCACTCTTTAGAAGTAAACTGAATGAGAACAGCACAATGGCCTAGATCAGGAAAGAGCTCCAACACAGGAAAGTACATGGAAGTTGGCATAGAATCAGGAGTGGAAAACAAAGCAAATGAATCAAAATAGTAATTTAAGACGAAAATGAAAGACTGACAGTCAGAGGGCAAAACAATGTGGAATGCAGAAGCAACTGTAATAAAATATGCAGATGGAAGTGTTGTACATAGTCAGAAAAGCAGTAACAAAATTAAACTGGGTTCAGGGACGATGAGCGGCTCACTTAGACCAGCAGTGAAGAAAAATAATTTTCTCCTTGAGTCAAAAGTTGAGTCCAAAAAATAATTATCTGCTTGAGTCAGAAGTTGTTCATCTACGTAAGACTTGTGTTTGCACTCATCTGGAACCCTGCTGAAGCAATGCGGGCATGATTTGGTTGGACTAGATGATCCTCAAGGTCTTTTCCAACCTTGATGATTCTGTGATTCTGTGATTTAGCTTACTCATGAAATGGCCCATTGATTGCTTGAATTACAGCAGCGAGAGGGACACGTAAACTGCTTAAAGAAGGGACAACCTTGTTGTCAGCGTAGGAGAGCAGAAGCACAACAGGAGCTCTCTGCCCCACTGGCACAACAGACGGACACAAAGAAATAACAAGGACCTGGAAACAAATTCATTAATAGATTCAGTAGAAAAACATTTATCTTTCAGCTGTAAAAACCTTGTATGAGCATTGAAGAAGCAAAGGAAACTTAACCACTTAAGACAGGAAACAAATGTTGACAGGCAAAGAACAGAAGCTTAACTACCACAGGTGCCTGGCCATACAAAAGAAAATCCTGTTTGTATTCTCATCTCCTAGCACTTGGCACCTGCAAACACCTAAAGCTGCCTGCCTGCCACCTCATTACACCTGGAGCAAAGTTACGGCACTTGGGACAGATCCTTCCACATCTCAGCTGACAAAACAGGGGAGGCAATAGTAGCTTTCTTCTTCATCATATGAGTTTGAAAATAAAACTTGCCATATCACTGGAGTGGAAACTTTGAACCAGTTCTAAAAGGCCAGTGAAGGAAATCAGATGAGTATTTACTGAGCTGGAGCTGCTGAGATGGTAATTATACCTTTTGAGTTTTGGTGGTGTTTTGTTTGCTTTGCCAGATTTCATAAGGCTCATCTGCTAATCAATTCCTGAAACTCATGGCTGGTTTTATTATGCAGTTTGTCCTGTCTAGGGTAATGGAGCAGAGCCAGAGAAATATTTTCTACTTAGTTTTTAGCAAAAAGGCTAGTTTGTGAAAAGGAAAAATGTTCCTAGGCTGCAAGGGAGCTTTGTTCTGTGTGTCACTAAGTTGCTATACGCTGCTACAAGTTTCAGTACGTTTTTGAGGAGACTGTCCCCTACTATTTTTGCGGTTCAAGTGCCAGATAAATCAAAGGGTTGACTTAAGCTAATACTTCCCCTTTTCATTCAGGACTGTCGGCTATGTAGCACATAAATGGGGAGATTCTTCAACAGAACATGAATCCAGGAGAGAAAACAATTTTCCAAGAATATCTGACAAATCAGGGGACTGTGGTAAAGCCCTATTGCTGGCAGAGACAGAACCACACCTGCGCTAAGTGTCCCTACCACATACGGACTGGTGAAGAAGCGACAGTCCCTTACGCAGAATTGGACAGGGTCTTTGGCTTCTCATACAGATCAACAGCAACTCTCCGAAACAAACACCTCCTCTTCTGTGAACTGAGGAGTTCCTCAGGCAGCATAGTCCAAAAAGGCCATGCTACAGACTGTACTGAGCAAGGCTACCATCCCGAATCTGTGCTGTTTGGGGTGGGTGCTTATCTGGATGCAGTTACAGATGCCCATGCAAATATCGGATGCATCGTCCTCTATTCAAATTACTCTCCCTGTAACGAGGTTTACCACTGCTGCATAAGTAAAATCTACAACCTTTAGTGGAAGTATTCAGAAATCACACTCTGCATCTATTTCTCTCAGTTTTATCTGACTGAGAACGGTTTCCATAGGGCTGCGTGGAATGGCAAAGCTTTGCAGAGCCTCTCCCAGCCTGTGGCAACTCTGCAGAGAGTGCCTGGGGGGGCACGGTGTTACCTCCCCTGCAATTTTGTGTATGGCATCCCAGGGTCAG